CCCCCCCCCCCCACTCTGATTATGTCCAGCATCTGTGCACCACTTTTCAAAGTTCTCCCTCGGTAATCTTTGGGAATAGTTGATGAAAGTAAAAATCACTCAAGATAGTAATATTGTGCTCCCAAGATTCATCTCGTTCAATCTTGATAACTACACTATCCTTTGTGGTCCATACAACAAAGTAGCAGAATTTGCGCTTTGTCAGGAACATCTGGCCTTGACACTGATGCCAGTAAACATGTGTGGTAGACAGCGTATAATTCCCTTCCTTCTCCTCCAAGTAAAAGTCTTTGTGCCCACAAGCTTCCTTGATTGTCGCATTTCGATGTGTGTAGGGGCACTTACACTCAATCACCGAGTCGTCTCCCACAAGTCCATCAGGGGAAGCACCCAGAACTCCCGACTCGTGTAGCCAAAGGCCGGTCTGTACAGGTGTAAAGTTTGTGATGTTGGTGAAGGATTTCAGGGCCTCAGTCTCATTGTCCTGTCCCCATGCAATTGCTTTAACTCCACTCAAGTTGTATTCCCCAAGTAGTCGCTTGATAAGAGACGGTGTAACTCTTTTTGCCTGGAGGACGGAGCCAAAATTACTGGCAGTCAGGCGGCCTCTACGAGCTTGGTGCCATGCAGGGCTGTTTCGCTGGCCAGCCGTGAGGGTGCTCACAACATTTATGGTTCTCTCCTCTACTTTGGCATTCTCAATCAAGTACTCTAATTGTTTTTCCTTCGTAGATGCCATAAGGAAACCTTCTGAGTAAATGATATCCTCAATCGTCTTGATCGGGAGAGGGGTAGCAGGTTGTGGTTCGGGACTCAAGATCCAGCAGGTCCCTGTAAATTTGCCATAGCGCTTTAGTTCGCTGTACAGCCACATCCGATCTTCTCGGCTAGGATCGCGCGCCAAAGGGCTGTAATCCTTCTTCTTCGGTGGCGCTGGAAACATCTGGCTTGCAGACTGTACGCTTTCTGCCTTTCGCTTTCGTTTCCATTGGCATTCCAGGTCCGTCCTGCTAAGGTTATGGATGCCATAAATAAATATGGCTGCCGCGTGACTGCACTTGAACTCGCCGCGAGGACACTCGCATTCTGTGTTTTTTATTTCAAGGTTTTCATCGAGATAAATCTGATAAAAAGATAATTCGAAACAGACACGTAAGTTGCAATATATATTCCGCAATATAAACATTAAATTGGAGGTGAAATCGGGGTTGGGAGTTCTTCGAATTGAACATACGTGTTGTGATCCCAAATTGGCAACTTACTGTGACTTTGTAGTCCTTATTTTTCATGCTTGCTTGGACTTCACCTTTGATGACTCCCCTGGAATAAATAAAGCTTTGGACATGGTCGGATTTGAAGTGGTTTTCTCCGCGATCAAGCGATTTCCGCTCTCCAGAAAAGAAAGAAACGAGTGAGCATATCGATAAAGACGCCATGTTTGAAGTATGAGTTTAAACTGTTTAGACCAGAAAAAAATGCTGTCATGGCAACGTGACGTCACACTTTAGGACTCTATTACAACCAGGTAGATAAATGACATACATACATGCCAACCACAATTACACTCTAAGAATTAATTCAAAATGATATGTTTCAGAGTACTAATAACATTTTTGTCTGTAGTAGTTTGGAAGTTTATGTTCATAAATGAACTATTGATTTGATTGATTACTGAACATGCATAGAAGTTTAAAACAATCTTATGGTATATTTTTTTGCCACTAACTGCAGGTCTTTCCTGGAAATACACACCAAAACATCCCTGTAATCAACAGTCTTGATGAATTTGCAAGTGCACGATTCATCCGCTTTGTGCCAACACAATATCATACATGGAAAATCCTGAGAGTGGAAGTATATGGAGTACTTCTAACAAAAGGTAACCATGCATTTGACCTCTTTTTTTGCCCTTAAGACTGAAACAAAATGATTGTTTTAAAAGGCTATTTTTTAAAGGAGAGCTACTGAGTAGGTAAATTTGCTTTAAGTGTACAGTACGTACACTGTGTTCTATATGACGCTTACTGATCCATTGCTAAAGTTAACTGGTTCAGCAAAGTTTTAAAGTCGAACCAAAGAAAATTTGGGAATCAACAACTCACAGGTGTAGATATTTTACTGGTGTTGATCCAGTTTCACCTTAAGTGTCGTCTATGGTATCCTATTCTCAGTGACTACATGGAACAAATTATCTCCTGATATAATCACAACTTGACCTTCTAGATTGTGCCAAATGGTATGGAAGTGACAGAAACAATTCAAACTTAATTAGCATGCACAAAGAAAGAGTTGTTAGTTTTAAATGGCTTTTGCAGTGACTCTCAAGCCAATTAAAGCCCTGAGTTCTGGAGATAAATGAAACTGCTCATTACATGTAATTATGAGGAAGGAAGAAAACTGACACTAAGTGTGGGAGTGAGTTATTATTTAGTTATTTTATTACGTTCTTATTAATAATAAATCTAATCAATGTTTAACTAGCCAATATTTTGAACTGTTTCTCTTGTAGCGGCGAGAACCAAGGAAAGAGGTAAGAATTCATTTAATAAATACAGTATACATATGTTATTGAACAGCCGAAAGGTCCCTATTGGGAAAAACTGTGCCAGAGGCCTTCAAGAAGATCTTAAATCTTTGCTCAATATTTCACAAATGAACAAATTGTTTGGAGAATTTAGATATTAATTGTACGAGAGTCACATTTATTGATTTTATTGTTAACTGGAAACACCTCTTGTTTTAGCTTTTTGGGTTACTTTTTGGAAGGGATTGTTAATTTACAAATGATTTTCAGGATACTTATCAGTCTTTATAAAAGCAAATGTAGTACTAGTCAAGATCTATTTAAAAATCAATTCATGTGGAAAAACCAATGAAAATGATTTGATTGAGAGAGGGGAAGGGAGAGGGGGGTCAGAGAGAGAGGGGGAGAGGGATGGGGGAGAGAGAGGGGGGAGAGAGAGGGGGGAGATAGAGAAGGAGAGAAAGAGGGAGGAGAGAATTTAATGAGAGGGTGACAACAGAGTGGCAATATTTTTATTAGTATATAATAATAATAATAATAATAATAATAATAATAATAATTGTATTTATAATAATAATTGTATTTATATAGCGCTAAAATCCACTAATTGTCCAAAGCGCTGTATACCCACCCAACCCACCCCAGGGGAGGACATCCATCACACAGTAATCTCGTGATATGTAATAGGACTATACCTATGTGGTGTCTGATTTGGAAGTAATCGGATGAAAATAATTCTGAGGACGACGGCCGTAGATGTATTTTAGCAAGATGTATTTTTATTTGGTTTTAGAAATAAGAGGAGGCCAAAATCTTGGTATATTAGTTTAAAACCTGCCGAAAAGCTGTTCAGTGGGACACAAGAATGGCAACATACAGTTACCTCTGAGTGAAAAATTTAATTGTAAATTTTGCAAAATAGAAATTTTTTAAGATTACCACTTTGTAAAATTAATTTTATTATCTGAATAGTGAAACAGGAGGTGACCAAGATCTTTGGGAATATACCATAATGCAATGTTTGAAGGTTATAATCTTTGTGATCCGAAAAGAAAGAGATCGTTATTGAAGTGTGAAATGGGGGATTCCCCAAAATGGTCATTCTCCTAACATTACTACTTTGCAAAATGAATAAAAATCCTTCCTATTAATTGACGATTACTCCAAAATCCTTGTCAAAGTTATCTTTACCTCATGAGATATATATCAGCACCATTCGCCTGTTTTCCTTTCATTTCGTTTCGTTTCCAAAATGATTAAGCGTAGAATATTTGATCGCAAAAGTACCTGGTGGGAGTTGGACAGCGTGCGTATGTCATCGTTATTTTCAGTGCTATTTTCGTTTTTCTTGTCCTTTTGTTCTGTTTTTCTTGTCCTTATGTAATACCCGTCATATATAACTTGCAGTGTGCAAAGTGTAGAAACAAGTTCTGAGGTGACCTCCGATATGCAAACGAGTCACTCACTCACTTTGGTTTAGATATCGTGATGTTAGTCGTCGCGAACTTGAGAGAAAAAATTTTTTTTTAAAACAAAGATCATCGCATTACAATGCAAACATTTATTGAGCGACTGTGAGGCGAAACATGACATAGGAGTGGAAAGTAATAGAGTAGCTCTTCAAATTTTGCACAGGGCTTCAAACATATATTTTAAAAAGTCAAAATATATTTTGCACTGAATTTTCCACTCTGTTGGATGAAACAACTGCATGTTACCTTTGCTCTTAATTTTTTTTTCAACTACGGTCTGAAATCCACGGCAGTCGGATAACTGCAAGTTGCAACACTGTACCACTTCAGCTGTAATTCTCTTATGGTGGTTAACACTGTGACCCTTGACCATGAAAGGCTGATGTTCAGAGCTTTTCTTCCTAACATTTTCCATGATATTGCGTCCATGAAGATTACATTGGCTACTTCTCTTTAATGTTTTTAAAATTTTTTTTTCAATATTTAGGAGGTTGCGTTGACTATTATCTTGGAATGGAAAATGGAGCAATCCAAGACAATGAAATAACTGCTTCTTCCATACAAAATGGCAGCACACCAGCTAAGAATGGTCGACTGAACTATACATCAGGATCATCATGGTGTGCAGGAACAGGTAACAGTAAACCATATCTGCAGATTGATCTAAAGACACTTCATATCATCTGTGCTGTGTCTGCTCAAGGGAATTCTCACGCAGATCAGTGGGTGACAAACTACACACTGCAATTATCCACAGATGGGACAACTTGGGAAGACTACAGGGAAGGTGGAAAAATTAAGGTACATGATGAGCACGGCTTGGAAAGAAAAAAGTTATATTACTAAAGTATTGTCATAGAATGTCTAGTCAGTGACACAAAATTTTTTACTGCTATAACAATAAGAAAGTCTTGATTGACATAAACGTATTAAATACTTTTATTGTTGATTGTCCATGCACGTTCTTATCTTGAGCAACAAGTGGAAAAAATTAATTTATGGTCAGATAACTTGACTGCTTGTTTCTTTGTTAGATTTTGGTAGGAAATAACGACAGGAACTCAGAAGTGAAGCATGTTGTTTATGGAGTGTTAACAAGATATCTGCGATTTCTGCCAAGAACACACCAGGGTGGGGTGTGTATGAGAACAGAGGTGTTTGGAGTAGAAAAAATGTCAAGTGAGTGTGGAACTTATAATGTACACCTGCATTCTTATGGAGATTAAAGGTCAACCTTTTCAAATGGGCCATATATCAACCTCAAATTATGTTGTGGTTACTGTAAAAATGGTCAAAAGGGGAAATAAACGAAAAAGGTAAAAGTTTTTCTTTCACTTATTTTGGTGGTCAAATTTGTCAACCTGGGAACGTGTTTATAACTTTTAATTATCAGTTAAAGTTTCTAGCCAAAACATATAGTTGGGGTGCACGTTGGGACAAAATGTTTCTGTCATTAAACTATAACTTCAGGCTTTTAAATTATTGACGTCTCTTTTCTGTTAACTTAATTTTATTTGGATACTCTCTTGACTTGAGGTAACAAAATCGTAATCTTCAACTAAGCTGAGCTTTAAGTCCTAATAAGATTTAGAAGGATTATAATGGGAGAAAATAAATCAAATAAAGTGACCAACATTGTATTTTTAATATGCTTTTCATGAAGACATTGGATATAAAACTCTGAAAGTTGATTCATCTAGCAAAAAAAAATTCATAGTGAATCATCTCAACAGTAAACGTTTGATTATTAACTTATTTAAACATTATACAACTTGGTCTGGTAATGAGAAAAAAATGAATTGTAAGGTTATCGTGAAGTGCTCAAACACTTACTTTGAAAGTATATCATTGCATTTGATGTACTGCATCAAATGCATATATGAATAGGGATGGTTACTGGTAACTTAGGGTGGGATCCTCTAGATGTTGCAGAAGATATAAATAGAAAACATAGGAAGGCTAGTAATTGTTGTTATTATTATCTGCAGCTTGTGATATGAAGGCCATTGGTTTGGCTGACGGTGGTAAAATTCCAAACAGCAGCTTCACAGCCACCTCAATATTTGATGATAGATATCGAGCTGAATATGGTCGACTGAATAAAAATAAGGCATGGGCACCCAAGGATAATAACAATATTAACGACTTCCTACAAATTGACCTCCTGTATGAGTATATCGTCTGTGCTGTGGCTACTCAGGGAAATCCACAGAGTAAGGTACCAGAATGGACCACAAATTACAAGATACGTTTATCTCCTACTGATACCACTTTTGACACCTACATAGAAAACAATGAGGACAAGGTTGGTCTTTGTGATGTTTATGTACAGTCGTATTAAATGGTTAAATCTGCATCTGATGCACTCACTAAAATTTTATAAATCAAGAGTAGGGTGCATGGGGGGATATTTGTTTTTTTTTTTGTACCTCATTCTTGATGTAGAATTTCTTTCTTAATAAACTTCAAATGCTGACCTTCAAAAGCACAATTGGGAGGTGTTGTTTATACTCTGTATCCAGCAGTTGTCAGTAATTGCAAGTGATCCTGAGTAGAGCATGGGACCCATGGAAAAGACCAAGGCTGATGACCACCTCAAAATTGACCGGCTGTATGAGTATACATGTACCAGTTGTGCTCTGTCTACTTAGGGAAATCCAGCATCCACTACAGCAGCTCAAGAATAGAGCACATATTTCAAGAGACATTTATTACTAAATACCACTACTTTTGACACCTACTGAAAAAAGTAAACAATGATGGCAAGGTTGATATACGTAAAGGAAATGAACATAAACGCCTAGTTTTATATCTGGTACAGTTGCTTCATTTTCTAAGTCAAGACAAGACTTCACGTTTTTCTTTTAAAAAAATTTCAAGGTTTTTCAAGGTCTTTTTAATTTATTAAAAACTTACAAAGCACAAGGGGAAATGCAATTCGCAGTTCTACATCCTGCAGCCCTCGATAATTCTGTTTTGGTAATGTAAAGGAGACTGACCCCCGTGAATCCAATAATGTCCTTGTTAAAGAAGACAAAATATTGTTATAGTCTGTTGACTTGTAAACAATCCATTCCTTTATGGGCACACCTGTGTTTGCTATGACCCTTTAATTTATATGTGCTTAAATAACTGGTGTGGATTATTCTGATCTAGGAATGAAGCTCTTTTTCATTAGTGAACCTGGTAACCATATTTGCTCTGTCTTTCCTTTTTTCACCTTGTCAAGGAAGGTTCCTAAGAGATAATCTGTACTGTCATAGATTGAAGTAATTGTGCAAGTTATTTCACACTATGAGTTGATGTGTGGAGTAACTTTTTTGAAGTGAGCTCTGTGACACACGAACCATTTTACAGTCTAGCAATATTCCTCCAAATAGTTAAATCTCGGCACATAATGATTTGAAATAAAATCGTTTCCAGAGTAACTTTCCTCCTTCTTCCAGTTACTTAACTCTATAATATCATAGGTGACAAATTACCCCTTAATTTTGGCGCGAAATTTCAGCGTTAATTTTAGTTTCACATGTGAAA